TTCAATGTGGACACTGTTTAAAACATCTCCCATTGGCAGCACACATCATTCTTGTTTCTTTGGTCAGAGGACGGTTCTGGGGCTGGTTGTTTTAAGATGGCCCCAAGTACAATGCAATTCATTTTCCTTCTTTCTTTTTTTTTTTTTTTTTAAGGTTTTATTTATTTGCCAGAGAGAGAGAGAGCACAAGCAGGGGGAGCAGTAAGCAGAGGGAGAAGCAGGCTCCCCTCAGAGCAGGGAGCCTGATGCGGGACTAGGACCCTGGGATCATGACCTGAGCTGAAGGCAGACCCTGAACCGACTGAGCCACCCAGATGTCCCTGCAATTCATTTTCTTAAAAAATGCCACTTTCGTGTGATGTGATTCCACCACTCTCTTAGAGGAACAGCTGTTGGTGACCGCAGCGGTCCATGCGTGTTTAAGATAAGTTATCTACTGACATGGTTACCGAGGTTTTTTGTAATGTCAGATAAGATAAAGGTAGGTATTTGTTGCTACGGTTTTCTCTGGCACCCAGCATTCTGTATTTACCTAAAAGAGCCAGATGTTGAATTAAGGATGGAATCACAAACACTGGGATTTGCTTTTAAATCCACCTCTGGGGAAGTGGGTTCTTTTAAGAGGTTTACTAGGAATGTTTCATGTAGCCTCTCCCAAGGAAGATAAAAGAAACTTGCTTAATATTCGATTCCTCCTGTGAATACGCATACACAGATGTCTTAAATTTGTTTTGATTTAGGCAGGAAAAACATTATAGTGTGCTTAGGTAATTAGGCTGTTTTTCCATAATCTTAGTTCGCTTGGAACTATTAAAACTGATTTGCAGGGACGCTGTCAGGTAGCAAATATTCAGCATACTTTCTTGTATGGACTCATATGGACATCTAGAGCTTTCTTAATTATGCCATGAACCCTTATGGCTCAACATTAGGGTTTTGCTCTTAACTTCCTGGACTGTGGTGACTCAGGGTGGGCATGAAATACGGAATTGTTTCATTGAAAGCCTCTTTCACTCTTATCTATTTACTGTCCATCAGTAGATCAGCTCCCAAAGCAAAGACTCATCCTTTGTGTTCCTCTAGTAGTGGGATGGGTTGGTGATGACACTGTGCCCTCTCTTTAGTCCCCAAGAGTATCAACAATGCAAGTTTTCATGAGCTGTCTGGCCTGTGGGGTAAAGTCCCCAGGCCAGAAACAGAGCATCTGTGTATCTGTGTGTGAGTGTATGCCTGTTAGTCTGCCGTATTTTGAAGTAAGCTAATTAACTATGGACCATAAACCTTTATACTTTACTTGAATAAACTCAGTAAACTAGTCCAGACAAGTCTGAATATTTGCAGTGATGGCAAATACAAATAAGCTATCCGATAGTGTGAGTGCTTATCACGCAGACTCTCAGATAGATTTCGGCATCTTAGATTAAAAGTCAAGACAAAAAACCCCAAACCTGGCATCTTTCACGTTAGTTAGAGTGAATTTGTGTATGTGAAGAACACAGTAAATACTATATGTATGAGTGGCATTACTGTTATCTTGGTTTGGAACACATTATGTCCTTCAGTCATTAAATAGACACGGGGCTGGGGCAGAGCGGGGGTGGCGGGGGTTGGATGACTAGAAGGACTGGCGCAGTATGCAGGAACTATTTTTATATAAAAAAAGATAAATTCCTGGCATTTACCGCCTTCAGTTTACTCATTTAATAATTTCTAAAAAATAAAATATAATAATATAATGTAATAAATATATAAAAATACATAAAGGGGAGCATGGGTGGCTCAGTCAATTAAGCATTCGACTCTTGATTTCGGCTCAGGTCATGATCTCAGGGTCCTGCGATCCAGCCCCGCATTGGGCTCTGTGCTCAGTGGGGAGTCTGCTTGAGATTCTCTCTCTCCCTCTCCCCCTGCTCCGCCCCCCACGCCCTGCTCATGCATGCACTCTTTCTAAAAAAAAGATCTATATCTATCTACATAATAAAGATAATAAAAATGACGAGTTCCCTAATACTTCTCCTAGTGCTGTACTGTTGTACTGTTTAGGGGAAGACAGTTGGTGGAAGAAGTTGGCAGAAAATGGCTTCTCTTCCAGCAAATTCCTGTGGATGCAGAACCCATTGTCCGCTTCTACCTTTTGTAACAGAACCGACATCCTTCCCTTGATTAAACAGACTCAGGTCTGAAGGTAAATAGCGTAGACAAAAGGGTGAGAAGTAAGGGTGTCTGTGTGCATGTGCACGCGTGCAGGGGGGAGGACAAGATTGCCAAGTATGAGGGAAATGCCTGCAGGTTTACTTGTTGCCACTGGCAGATGCTGCCTAAAGCATGTCTCCTCCTGTCCACGTAAGACATGTTGGTTTTTTGAAAATGTGAGCAGGGATGAAATCTCCCGTCCGTGAGCACAGCAACAGCCCCACATGAATTCAGTTCCGGTGACGTTCTGGAAATTGGCGCCAGTCACTTTTTATCTGTCTTCACCCCTTTCACTGTGTATTTGTTTTGCTACTTCCTTCCCTGACAGATTCACGTCTTCTAGGGAAAAGCTCCTTAGGTTAGTGTGTAATGGCTTCTAGAAGAGTTCTCTTGTCTAGAAAAATCTAATTGTCTTAACAAGTAACTCTGTGTTTTATAATATTGTATTATTAAGAAGAAGTATGCATTTTACAGTTAATTTTTTCTCAGCTTCCAAGGGGGCTTTTCATCTCAGATGTTAAGTAGCAGGACTAGAAAGAAGGGAATTAAAACAGAGGCAGGAAAAAAGAAAAAAAAAACAAAAAAACAAACACCCCACAAGATTTAATTTAAAAAAATGCAGGGCAAATGTAATTTCTTTCCTGCATAATTTATATTAAAACTTATCAGCTGCTGATAGGATAAATAGCCCAAGATAGTTTCTGCTTGGCTTATACTTTCATCACAGGTATTATCTGCTCAAGTATAATGTAATGGTTTTCTATCTAAAGGTAAAACACTCAGGATGCTCGGGTGGCTCAGTTAGTTAAGCGTCTGCCTTTAGCTCAGGTCATGATCCCAGGGTCCTGGGATCGAGTCCCTCATGGGGCTCCCTGCTCAGCAGGGAGCCTGCTTCTCTTTCCCCCTGCTTGTGCTGTCTCTCTCTCTCTCTCAAATAAAATTGTTAAAAAAATAAATAAACAAACGTAAAATACTTCAATTCCTTGGCAAGGTAAAAATGAATGCCTAAAAATCTGTGTAAACCTGCATTTATGTATTTTTGTCCATAAAAGGTAGTTCTCAAAATCAAAACCAAAATATTTACAAAGGTATCATGTGCACATATTACACATTTTCTTTGCAAATTGAAAAATGAAATTTCAAAGCCAGTAATAACAGATTTGTTTCTTTCAAAATGTCTCAGCTGAAACATAAAGGCACAAACTATGGATACAACTTGCATGGATCTTAAAGGTGATAAGCCTGAGTGAAAAAGCCAATGGAAAAGGTACAGAACAGTTCCATGTATCTAGCATTCTCAAAATAACAAAATGATAGAGATGGAGAAGAGATGAATCAGGGACTAGGGAAGGGGAGGGGGTCCCTGCACTGGGGCAGGCGGAGGGAGTTTCTCTGTGGTGATGGGAGTTTTTTATCTTGATTGTGGTGGTGATGGTATGAATCTAGACATGATAAAATGTCACAGAATTATCCACAAAAACATATGCAGGAACAATGACTGCATTCAAAAACTGGCCAAAGCCAAGCAAGTCCTGAATTCTAGTTAATCATAGGTAGTGTGTCAATGTCAGTGTCCTGATTTGGGTTATGTATTATAGTTATGTAAGATGTTACCTTTGGGGGAGACTGGGTGATGGGGACGCAGGATCTCTCTGTACTATGATTGCAGCTTGTGGGTCTATAATTATTTCAAAATATAAAGTTAGAAACAAATCCCTCTGCTGAAGAAAAGATTCCAGCTACTAATTAAACATACTTAGGAAGCAATTTAGTCAAAGACTGGTATCCTTTCAGGAGGCAGGCCTTTAAGACAGAAACACAGAAGATTCTTGATTTAGCATATGCTTAAGTATCTGGTTCTGCAAGTCTCACACTGCGTAACTTAAAGCGATTACTGTTTCTGTGGCTTCTATTAAAGTAGTAGAATCAGGAAATTTTAGAGTGAGTGGTGATCTTACAGAGAATGTAGGTCAGACTTTCAGGTTACACCTCTGGGTTTTGGTATCCTCATTTGTAATAGGAGGGCCTTGTCCTAGATTCTTTGTTAGTTAGCATCCTGCATAGTTCTAAATTTTAGAACCCACCACTTTACAATAGAAACTACAGAAACTTTAAGGGCGAACTGATAAATTCTGCCTCGATATTTATTGCATGACACAAATGTCTCCATTTATGTCGACTGCCAATGTGGATCCACAAGCAATCTATTTATTTAACGCTATCTCCCATATTGTAAACACTTGGAGAGTAAATTACCAGGGCTCTACCACTTAGCTAAATTTGAGAATTTTCCAAGAGAGGATTGGGGCAGTTTTCTTGAAGATGATATACCATTACATAGTCCTTGTACCAAATGTATGGCTTTTATCCATTTGAAAGGGGAGGTTGACTTGGGTCAGTGTCTTCCAGTCTGGATCCCCTGACAGCTCATCAAATCCACTAAATTAATCCCGGGGAAACACGTGGCCCATAAAACACAAAAACTCTGTTAAGTTTTAAAAGTAGCCATTGTCATTTGGGAATAAATGAAGGTAATCTCTCGACAACCAAGACAGTTTAGGCTTACTCATGTTACCCCTTTTCTTCCTGGAATGCTAAAAACTGATTTCCTTGGGGAAACTGAGCCCACTGTAAAACCAGGCTCAGAAGCCCCCAGGGCTGCATCACCTGGTGACGGTATGCGCATGCAACAAAAGGATCTCAATTTAACAGCAATTACACTTTGTCTTGTGGTACTGATTTCCCCTAAGTCTGTAACGATTTAAGTCATAGTCTTACAAAAACAAAACAAACACAGGACCAGTACCTCACAGCATTAGTGTCATCATTTATTAACAAAAGGAACCCATAGGGTTCAAACCAGAATACAAAATACAATCTTCATTTTTTTTTTTTCCTGTGGGTTAAACTGTTACATTTTTAATAATAAAAATAAAAAAGCTTTCATAGTTAACTTATCAAAAACAAAATCCCTGCCTATTGAGAGTTTCTTATTGTGCAAAAGAAAAACATAAAAATTAAAGTTCTGCCCATGGAAGGATTTTGTGGGCCAAAAGATACACATTTTCAATTTCAAAAATTTTTGCATCAAAAAGAAAATTCTAAGGCCACAGTTTCTTTGCAAACTAAACAACAGAATAACAAGCAAATAGCAGCTAAATTTTTATCTTCATTCCCAAGAATTCTGTTGCAATGTAGAATTTTCTAACATTCGTAGAATAATTTCTTGATTATAAAACGGTATGCAGTTTCAACCTACTGCTTAAGGTCAGATATACTGATACCAATTTGATAAGGCAAATCATACCTTTTAGCTACTCTTTTAAGTGCTACAAAATGAGCTTTGCTTTAATTTTGTTAGCACATTTCACGATGTCTCTGTTACAGGTGATAAAACATCCTAGTGAAGGATTCCACTGAGTAGTTGGAAGTCAACTACTTGGCTTTCTACATGGGGCCAAAACTAAACTTTCTTCCTTCATACCATTTTTCTTCGCTTCTTTCACTTTATTTTGGTATCATGGAGATGGACAATGTCTTGACAAGGCATATAAACTACAACTTAGAAGTCAAGAAACAGTTGAAGAGGATCTTTTTTTTTAGAGTAAGAACAACACTGTTCAGATAACACTTAAAGACACATACCTCTTTAAAAATACACAAAGACAAAGCAAAAAAAAAAAGCACTAAAAACCAAAGTAGGGAATAAAGTTCTGTGACAATTTCAGTACCACAATTATTGGTGTAACAGTTTTGCACTGTGATTTTAAATAGTGGCTTACAATGAAAAAAATTGCTTAAGATGCTTACGTGATTAGAGAGAGGTATGTCCAGAAGGGGGAGAAGGATACATTTACCTAATGCATGTAGAAAAAAATCCCTGATCAGATGGCCAACTAACTTCTAAATACAAAACTTAGCCTTAGAACAGCTTTGATACTTGTGACTGAATATACTGATTGAAAGAAAAGTTATTCACTCTGGTGAATGAAGTACGGCATTCTGCATGGGAAGCACCAGGGTTTCTAGGTTGAACCCGTAGGACATGGAGAAAACCAAAGTACTCGGCTAGTCCAAAACCTCTATCGTGGAAATCCCTCCCTCCTTTCTACTGAGGGTCCAGGAATGCTCTCAGCTCGTGAAACCAACAGATGAAAGGAAAAGCAAGGGACCATGCGACCACGAACAGAAGGGGAGAGGGGAAAAGTCAAAACATTGCTCAGACTTCTAGCAGCAACACAATCTTGTTGGTCGGAATATCCTGAGGTTAAATGATAATAAAAATATTGCACCAAAACAATAAAGGAAAAAAATCACAGTTTAAATAGAATTACTAAAGAATTGAAATGGGAATAATAATACACGGTGCAGTGACTGCCATCAGTAGACTAAGGTCTCTTCTTGGCAGGAATTCAGTTTGTCCTTTTTAAAAACCATGGTTGTTTGTACCCTCTTTTGATTTTGCATTTATTTTGAAATACCCTTTGGTAGGCATATATTAACTTTCATCTAACGCTAGCCTTATAGATTTTTCCCTTGGTCCACCTGCAGATTTAGTGATAGGTCAGAGGAGATTGCTACTGCCAATTAGCAGAAACTCTATACAAGGCTTATCAGGCCTCGAGTTTTCAAAGGATTCTGATAAACCCACTAGAGGTAGGTTAAGAAAGGCTTTTTGTTGTTTTTTTTGTATTTTTTTTCTGTGTAGTTATCAAGGCAGCCTGAGGATGCAACTTTTTTTTTTTTTCTTCCCTTTCTTTTTCTACTGTCATCCTAGGTAAATAAGACACAGGGAAAATCAAACACATACCCTAACAAAGTACTTAAATGGGGTAAGAAGTATAGCCTTCAACCGAATGTGTTCTCATACTGACACGCCTTGCAAGGAACTCTTTTCTTGGTTTCGTAATACTGCAGAGCCAATTTATACAGTGGAACTGTGTTACTTCGTTAGGACCTCATTGAAAGGTTCTTTCGAGGACTTCAGTCCTATGGGACACGGTAAGAAACCACGAAGCCCCTCACACTTGGTATCTAGGGTGGGCCTCTCCTATTCGCGCACGCCTCCATGCTGCTGCCATCTTCAAAATCAAGGCTCCCAATGAGTCTACATTTCCTTAAAGCTCAGGGTAACTTCTTTTCCACCTTGAGAAACCTCTGTAAAGTGACACAGAGCATTTCCACTCTCCACACAGCGTCTGTTCTCTGCGGTCAAGCACGCAGGCACCCCCTTCACTTACTCTATCACCATCAGGACTTCCGGGACATTCTTCTCACGTGACTTTTCACATCTGCTTCACTGGATTACTTAAAGGGGACGCACGACGGTATCATCAACTTGTGCAATGATCCCGTCGGCCCACTGGGAAATTCACATATTCTTTAATTTCTATCACCTTTGATCTGGATGTTCACTTATGTTCTTACACGCCTTTCTCTCCCTCTTTTCCAAAAAGGCAGGGGGAAGGAACCGTTTTCTAAATTGATGATGAACACAGTGATTTCTGACATTTGTTCAGAGAATGAAGGAAACGGGCTGGGTCTCTTCTACATCAGGAGGATGTGGATCAACCTGCAAAAAAAGAGCAGACCAGGATTACTATTCCAGCACCCTATAAATAATCTTAGTATCTATTTCTAATTATATGGTGGTTAGAAGCCAAGTTGCTATGAGCCTATTAATAAGAAGTCCCAGTGGGTCACTTAAGTGCTCTGTACTCCATGGCCACATAAAACAATTTAAAGGCGATCCATGGTACTCTAAGGGCATGCTATCATTTACAAGGAAAATATTACAAAAGGAGGTAATCCAATCAGTGCCAGTTTATCATCACCAGAAAAAATTTTTAAATCTGTATCCCCTACTACTTAGGAATCAGCAACAGATACTTACAAAGGATTATTTCCAGGCGGCAACCTAAAAGTCTTATTTTTTTTCGTTTTGCTTACCTCTGAATAGAGAGGCGGAGGCTGAAACCGGAATTCCTGTATGCAGGCGAACATAGGACAGCATGCTTCCCCCTCACAGTTAGGGGGCTGAGGGTAAGGAGGCACGTGTCTAGAGAATTCCTCCTCTGACACCACGTCTGCGTAATTTGGTGGTGCTGTGACAAAAACAGAATTGGGTCTCAGAAGTCCACGCGAAAATTCATTACATTCTTCTGAACTCTTACCAAAATAAGAAATTTAGCTAAATTTGAAAACAATGTTTTTCTCTCCCCCCCTCTAATGAGCAAGTTTTTGTGCCCATCGTGACAGAACATACTTAATCGATCCTTCTCTTGTGAAATCACTACTAACAGTTATTGCACTCTCCTCTTTTGAGATGGAGACTTCCTTCTGGCTCTGCAGCCAGCAGCTCTGTGTCCCGGCTAAGCCAGGCTCCCAAAGTCCCTGCCAGGAAGGCGGTGTTATGATTTCCAGGGCTCAGAAGAGTCAGGATAGCTGCGGAGGCGGGAGTCCTCGGCATCTGAGCACCTGCTGTCTTACGCTGCCCTCAGGTACCCTACATGTGAAACTCCTCGCGGAGGGAACCTCCACGCCTCGTACCTTCGGGCTGCTCTGGCAGGGTCAGCGTCAGCCAGCTCAGATCCATACTGAACTGGCTGGCAATGCTGGAGTTTCTGCTGCCAAAACCATGGTATGGAATCGTGCCAATCACTAAGGGCAGCTCGAGCATCAATTTTTTAGCACCAGGAATGTGAATGTACACCTAATATGTCAAAAAAAGAAAAGAAAAAAAGAAAGAGAGAGAGAAAAAGGCAAAAATATAAATAAAACCTCCAATTTATTTTTTCACAGAAACAAGTGTCTTTGTTGCCTACCACCACTTCTCCAATAGAACTGTAAAGGATCCTGACCAAATAAAATGAAGAGCAAACCAAATGAAGAGCCCAGGAAATACACTGAATGCTCTGTGATGGGGACCTGTAGCCTTAACATACCTCACTGTAAGCAAGCATGGCTTACATAATAATGATAAAAAATGAAGTCTATGTTTTCAATATAACAAACACCCCTTAACTGCATGTTAGTTAATTCAATTCCTTAGGGGGACAGTTTTTGATTAAGAACAAAGGCCAATCTTCATCATTCTATGGTCTGCCATAATGCTGACATACAAGGACATTGTCCCAGGAATTAAACGTACATCTTCGTGGTAACATGGCATGGTTATTACTCCATTCTACATATTTTTCATTTTAAGAAGATCTCCGCTTACAGCTAAGGAATAGTCTATTCTGATAATGCAGCAATCCAGGATGGACGGGGTAACAGGTGGGATTTTGAGAGTCTTCCCATTCCACGTGTCAGTGCCCCCAGATGCAATGTGGTTTCCCCGTACGTTGGCAACCATGTGCCGGACGGTCTTTGTTCTCCCACTCGCCAAATACGTCTGGGTTTGGAAAATAGCAGCTTTGGGAACAATCAGCCGAGAGGAACAATTCTCTATCTCTGCATAGATTGGAATAGCTTCTCCTAAAAAGAGAACAAAAACACCTTCAGAGACTTTTCAGAAAGTTCTCACCACGGTGGAAGAGAGCCGCGAACCAATTAAAGCAAAAGTCGCCTTGTGACTTTAACAAATTGAGAGCCTTTGATGGAAAACTTGCATTGTGAATCTGTGTCAGAGATCTGAGAATTCACTGCAGGTCACGGTAGATACTGGCTTCTTTTTTTTTTTTTTTTTAAGATTTTTTATTTATTTGACAGAGAGAGAGACAGCTAGAGAGGGAACACAAGCAGGGGGAGTGGGAGAGGGAGAAGCAGGCTTCCCGCCGAGCAGGGAGCCCGATGTGGGGCTCGATCCCAGGACCCTGGGATCATGACCTGAGCCGAAGGCAGACGCTTAACGACTGAGCCACCCAGACGCCCCGGTAGATACTGGCTTCTAATTACGGCATTATTTGCTTTTCTAATGTAGCAATATTAGGTTGCCAGTTCTAAACATATGTAAATAACAAGTATCTATAAAAATTAAAATAATACATACAAATAAATGGCCCAGTACTACGTTAAGTACAAAAGATCACTAACAAACTCATTAATGCCCATCAAATTAAAATCTGCCCAACAAGAGAACAAAAACATCGCTTTTAAGGAGCCGATGTGAAGGCATAAATGAAACGGATGGAGCAGACGACTTTTCCATCCGCATTACATGCCCACCGTTCCACCATCTGTACCACATTCATTTCCAATGAGCCGGAACCCTGGAGTGGGGGCCAAACCCACTGGATGGAATCAGAGCCTTCACAAACGGTTGCTCCAATATCAATCTGACTGTTCAGGCTGTTCATGTTCTACACTCTCACCCCCTATGTTTGGGTACATATCCCCAGCACAGGGTCAGAATGCTTGACGTGGTTTCCTGCTGCAATAGCGTTTTTTTTTATTTTTTTTTAAGATTTTATTTATTCTTTTGACAGAGAGAGACACAGCGAGAGAGGGAACACAAGCCGGGGGAGTGGGAGAGGGAGAAGCAGGCTTCCCGCTGAGCAGGGAGCCCGATGTGGGACTCGATCCCAGGACCCTGGGATCATGACCTGAGCCGAAGGCAGACGCCTAATGACTGAGCCACCCAGGCGCCCCGTGAAATAGTGCTCTTCTGAGCAACGCTGCTCCTGACATTCTTTGGCAACATCAAGTAAAATGCTGGCATTTTCCCCACTTTCCCAGTTCTAGCCTTTGTTACTAAAGTGAAAGGACCGAAGTCAGAAACACCAGAAGTTTTACTGGAATCTACTCATCCACTCAAAAATACTTACATATCCATTATTTATATGAAAAACATATTATCCACATTTTAAAACAGTATGTACCTCATGAATTACAAAAGACACTATTTAAAATCACTTAAAAGTAGCTAATAAAATGCATGACTCCTCCATTTGGACTTTCAAACATTTTGCTTACCATTACAGTATCCTTTTCTTTCAATTTTGGCACTCAGTGAGACAGGACCAGACGTGAAAAACCAACAGCCAACCATTTTCTCTTGAGTTTTCAATACAGGGGTCTTGAAAATTTCAAGAAATAACATGACTTTAATTAAACCAGTAGAAAACTCAGAGAACTTAAAATTACATCATTCTTTATTAAACAGTTGTGAAGAAATGTCTTTCGGAAAACAAATCAACTTTTTATCCTCATGTGACATATTAGGCAAAATACTTGCTGAAATATAAAGCATTGAAAAAACAAGTCATTCTCTTTTAGGAAAACGAAGATGAATTGTCAGACTCAAATTAGGTGACACCATCCTATTTTATCCTATAATAATTTTATTTCTGGGAAACGATATACATTCCCTTAAGGTAATAATAAAAAATTACAGTAGTAACTAGTAAAGTGAAAGAGATGTTTTTCTTTCTTTTAAAGACTTTACGTGCAGATTAGGTTAAAAAAAGAAATGGTATAAAAATCAATAATCAAAATCTTCTATTTGTTTTGGCATCTAAAATATAGAAGAAGCAAATAGCCTTTTTTTCCTGAATTCAAAAATGCATGATTAGGCAGAAATTTCAAGTGCCCTCAAGTGAGACTGGTTATGGGTTCTGCGTGATGGCAGCACAACGCACCCAATGCAATGGATCCACAAGGTTACCGAACAGACCACCCCACCTTTTCTCCTACGGCATCAAGAGAAAGGGCACAAGACTTAAAATGCTCAGTTTAAAGGACGCACAAACCAAAAGCTCATAGTAAAACCCAAAGCTGCAATAGTTTTTTACTTATAAAAAGAACATTAAAGGATTAATAGTTTTTCTTTTTGGCAAAAAAATAAAATCTCCTTAAATCATTTGCCACAATGGCCCACAAATAGCTTAGAAATAGCCAACTTCCCAATTCTAAGTAGTTTTTAAAAGTACAAGACAGTATTGTCAATTTGCAAAAACAAAACAAAACAAAAAGACAAAAAAACCAAAAAAACCCAAGGTGTGAAGTGGACGGTAACTTCCGGCCGTAACAGCAGCTTTCAGCCTGCTCGGCTGGGTGCGGGCTGTTCTAGGATTTTGGTCACAAGGGGTCCTGCAGCCAGAGCATAATTATTATACTGTCACCCTCCAAAAGTGAACGTTAGAGAGAAGTCCATTCCATTTTCCATTGAAAATAGGGTGAAATACCTTTTAGCTCCTGTTTTTTCCCCTTATCTTTAAAAACATTGGCCAGAAAAAGAAATCCCCCAATACTAAACATACATCTTTGGAACACCCGTATCATGATGGAAAGTTCAAATTATCCCAGTATTTTCTATGAAGTAAAAAAATCATTCATTCATATTTAAATGAAGAACCATTAGGTCCTCACAGCTATCATGAAAGTACAAGGTATAATTTTATATTATTTTGATAATATGGGTTTAGATAAAAGAATCTAGCTCATTAGCTCCCATCCTGCCTACTCTGTTGTTACTTATAGCCTAATCTTTCTTATCAGCCTACAGTATTTCTGGTGATTATTAGAAGTTCAATGCTTTAATGTGGCCAAATCTGTCATAAGGAAATGATAAGAGAAAGGCTCTCCACGGCAGCTGCACGCACTTACTTAATGTTAGAAAATGACATGCAAAATGCAAGGATACATAGCATAATGGCCTGAGCCTCAATAACAGGCTGAGCATGATTAATACTCTTCCGTAATTACTGTTCCTCAACCTGCTATTATTGAAGAGTTTAGAATACCACAGCCCCGTGAATGTGGCCGCTCTGGTAAAAGTAACCACTCTCTGTGTGCGCATTATTATTATTAAGCCTTATTAATGCATTTCAAGCCTGTATAACTTTTTGGCAAAAGCAGCCCTGAACAATGGAGACATAATCAATAGTATTAACACAGACAATTTGTAATCTGCCCAACCTAGAATCACACATTTATAGTGAAGGCCCATGGGTTATAAGATTGTATCAGAAAGTGACAGGACAGACTAGCACCACGCTGGATCAGTGCATACAGCACTCCTGAAGGGAAGGAGGAAGGGAGGGGAGGAGAAAAAGGAGGAGGAAGAACTTACTAATAATGCTGGTGTGTTGACATCAATGTGACTAATCACCTGAAGCTCCCGCTTCACACTCTGATCGGGTACCTTGGGTCGTTCCAAAACTGCCCTCACACAGTACTGAATACTTCCATATTTCCCGGTGAACGAGGTTACTAAAGGTCTGAAACGAACCAAAGAGGTTAATTGAGAAGTTCATCTTTCAGTGAAACGCCACTGGAAAAAAAAACAAAAAGCCTTAAAGTGTTGGTTTGGGTTAAACAAAATAAAAAGAATGTGAACAGGGTATCTATTGAGGGGCTATTCAAGATCAACGGGCATAACTGAGTCTCAGAAGATACCTGGTACCCTCACCTCGGGAAAGACATATTGCCGAGAAAGGAAATCACAAAAGTAGTATCGTTTCACTTACTCAGATGGAAGTTGAAAGCTAAATGGAAATTCATGTTTTCCAGGCTCTAATAAGAGGATGCCTTCACCTAAAAAAAGAAAATACATTTTAACTAAGGTCATATTAGATCAAGAATTTTCACAACGTAATCCTATTTTTTTAAAAAAAGGAGATTTCCCTGGCTATAGCATCCAGGATACTCCAGAAAGTACATTAATCTCTAAGATTTAGAGAATTAGAATTTGAATCAGTTTCTATCAAGTTTCATCGATTTCAAACCATATATACACATACAGTTTCTATCTTTAAAAAGACCAATCACGCAAGTAATTACCATAAAGTGTCAGAGCCCAGAGTTCTCATGTACATATACACGTGCACACACGCACATGTATGTGTATGCACACGCACGTCCATGTACACACACACATCTGTTCGCCCCACTCATAAACTAGCACAAGTGTCCCAGCATTGTATTATAAACACACACCAATGCTATTACACTAACATCATAGTATACTATTATACTAATATGACATACCGACATTAAATTGGATTTAAAACTGATTTAGCAAAAAATCGATCTATTTTGGGTATACCATAAAAATCACATTCTTTATTCCTTGGGCAAAAATGGAAAAAGGTGACAGATTTCCTTGGAATAGTGTGAAGACGGAGTATAATAATACCAAACAGCCAAACTAACAGGACAACTTACGAGGTTAAGAGTCATGCATGTACACTTAAGCTCTACCCATTAATAGGTGGCTCGTTAATTGGTGGTTAAGTCAGGATATGGAGCGGGGTCTGCCTAGCACAGCCACGACTCCTCCCTCCTGCTCTGGGTTCTGGGTCAGCCAGCTCGGTTTTATCCCCCATAGAGGCCGAGATGCAGGGTGCAGATGGACCGTGTGAGGCCAGGGGCGCTGCTGGAGCTCCCATGAACACACACACAACTGGCATCATTCAGATCCAAAGTCAACTCCAGGGCTGTCATGTGGCTTAGACAGCTCTGCAGAGATGCTTAGAAACTTCCCCTTCACTTTATGCTCTTCGATTCAAGTTCAGAACTAAACCCCCTCATCAAGGGTGGCACGATTCAGATGAAGGAAGTGCAGCACAGATGAGAACTTTCTTCAAGATTTGCCTGGTCAGTTGATACTAAAAACAGAGATTTCTACTGTATCCATTCATTAAAAAAAAAAAAGAGAGAGAGAGACATTTAAAGGGCTAGTAAAATGGAATATTTTTTCACTTACTAGAAACAAGTTAACATTTCAACCTGTCCTTTCAGAAAACAAGAATGCATTATTGGCCCATTTAGTCTTCTGAATCTATCCCCAATTTTCAGCGTGTAATATATTAGGGGGAAAAATGACTGAAGGTCATTCAAATATAAATACAACACAGGTGGGTGACTTGGAGGCGAAGTGAACAAGTGACGGGGACAAGAGGCCACCGTGATGGAGGCAGTCCGAGGGCTCAGGTGTGCCCAGAGCTGCCCTCCCGTAAGACTCAGCACTTAAGCCGTGCTATCAAGTAAAAGGCTCAAGGCACTCCCAATGCTTCTGAGAGAGCTGGACTAAAGTTCTAAATTGTAATCCTTAGACTACTGAATAGGACAGTCTGTGTACTTTACAATGTTTAAAAATGTGGATTTCATGTGAGTTCAAACCGTACAGTGCTTAGACGTCAGGCCCCATGGATACAAAGATGAGTAACGTCAATCCTCAGATAGACCATGGGGGGGGGGGGCTACAGACACACGCATGCAAGTAATGAGCACAGAGTGCGGGAGCCCGTGGAGGGGATGGCGCCTGCTCTGGACCTGAGGGCCAGCACGGAGATGTGGAGGAGGGGGTTTGAGAGGAAGGGAACGGCATGAGGCTGGGCACGGTGGGCATGTGTGGGGAACAGTTACTAGGGATACTGAGAGAGAGAAAGTTCTCTCATCACAGAGAACACAAATGAACATAGGAACTAGAACATTTAAAACAAGGCTTTCAATCCCCTCCACACATTAACAGAAACACAAATGGAGAAAGTTGATCAACAGAGGTTACAGCATTTGGAACCAACTCTTAGTTTTCTTCCTGTCTCTTATGATTATCTTTTTGTTAAAAGTTTAACAAGCTGAATCATGTGCCCATTTCTGCTTCTGTTCTCATGGCTCAGTACTTCTGCCTTATACACTGAGGACTACGAAATCACAGAGAGGTGTTCCATTCACTGATGGTCTTACAGCCCAAGCTCCTCATTCAGGGCACTCGCGAGGGGTGGGAGCTAAGAACATCATTACAGAGTCAGAGACTTGGGCTCAGGAAGGTTGAGGGACTCCCACAAGGTCATACCGCTGGTGGGTACCAAGTGAAACTAACTCTCTTCTGTCTTATCTTTCTACCACAACTCCTCAATAATTAAACAAAAAGTGAAGAAAATCACAAAGATAGCAAGTAGATTAGATTAACGGTACCAAACAATTATCTGGGGGGAGATTTCCTGAAAAGAAATGTCCTAGACACATTTCCCCCCAAAATCTAGATTTCTAAAAATCTCTTCAGGTGATCAAAATTCAGCTAGGTTTTGGAAATAAATGACCCTGAAAATCTACGACTATGCAAAGTTGCTAACTTCTTTCAAGCTACAGATGTTAGGAGTGTTTTTTTTTTTTTTTCCTCAATGAGCTCACCTAAAACAAACTATGATTTTTATTTTTTTATTTTTTATTTTTTAAAAATTTTTATTTATTTATTTATTTTTATTTATTTATTTATTTTTGCGAGAGAGAGAATGAGAGAGAGCACGAGAGGGAGGAGGGTCAGAGGGAGGAGCAGACTCCCTGCTAAGCAGGGAGCCTGATGTGGGACTCGATCCCAGGACTCCAGGATCATGACCTGAGCCGAAGGCAGTCGCTTAACCAACTGAGCCACCCAGGCGCCCACAAACTATGATTTTTAAATAAAACATAATTTTTGCCAATATCTGGTATGATATCTTTTATTTTTTTATTTTTTTTAAAGATTTTATTTATTTATTTGAGAGAGAGAGAATGAGAGACAGAGAGCACGAGAGGGAGGAGGGTCAGAGGGAGAAGCAGACACCCTGCCGAGCAAGGAGCCCGATGCGGGACTCGATCCTGGGACTCCAGGATCATGACCTGAGCCGAAGGCAGTCGCTTAACCAACTGAGCCACCCAGGCGCCCCTGGTATGATATCTTTTAAAAACAAGCTAAAAATTTTCAGGTTGTCTAGGCTTAGACATTCTATTCCATCAGAATGAAAAAGCAAGATCTAACCTGTGATTCAAAACAGTATTTGTCAGACCAGATTTTACCAAAGCAATTTTTTATTACTAATCCCAGGTCCAACTGCTATTAATCTCACTTCTGTTTACTCAGTAGTTATAGGCACAGAGATAGAGAGAGTCCACAGTCCGGGTCAAAAACCACTTCTCTCTTCCACCACCCTTGACTCCAGTCAGCCATCTTGAAAATCTCGGTTGTCCCTGACCATTGGGGGAGGCATGTGTAGGCTGATCCTGGAAACCATACCAAGGAAAGGGTCACCCAACACACTGTACTTGTGAATCCAAAAAGGCTTTGGTTCCAAATATGTTTTTTTCCTCACTACAATACTTGGGATCACTGGATTCTCACATACCTTGAGGATTTAATGGTGAACAGTCTACTTCTCCAAAGTAGGAAAAGGCAAAATTGCACATGCTATTTATTTTGTACAAGACACAGAAAACATTAAAACATTGATATACTGCCTTTTACTCTTCAAGGGAGGGGAGTTTATACCATTATCTCCTTTTATAGATAAAAGCTGAAGCTGATGAGGCAGAAAGATAAAATAGTTTAAAGTAGCTTCCACCAGCTTCATGAAGAGCAAGACTCACTGTTCCTAGTATTTTCATGATTAAGAAAATCAATTTTTGCATATTTACTCTACATAATTATATAAAGTTTTATATTTATACACGTAGTATACATATAGATAAAACAGCTATGATGTAGGTTCCCACCTAAGCACTTGGAAAAACCTACACTATTAACTGGACTTCAGCAAGAGTGGACAAGAAGTGGGTAATCATTCCTGCAGAAACTTACAATGCCCAGATCCCACTGTCTCCAAAAGCCTACGGGGCAAGGGGCGGGGGGGGGGGGGGGGGGCGGGAGGGATGTTGCAAGGAAACAAAAAGAAGAAGACAAAAGAATATAGGGCAGAGGCAGAACTCTTGTTACTCTGCTCCCAGAAGAGGGAAAGTATGATAGTCAAGTATGATGGTCAACTCTAGAAACACTTCCTTTGAACCCCTACCGCTCACGAACTACTTCCCTTTTTCCAAGATCGAGGTTTTGCCAATTCATCGTGAAACAAGAACGACTGTCTACCTCCAGGATGGGAAGAAGGGGAGGCCCATAAAACACTGAGCAACACAGCATGGAAACCTCATCGACTGACTCCACTCTCCATCCCTCAGGCCAGAAGGGACAGGACCGAGATCCCCGGATCTTAGATTTCTGACTGCTCATCACAGGTTCCCATGGCAACGGTTCACTCCTGGAAGGTCCTGGGAGGCCCGGCGCTGGGCAGGCCCGAGCGAGCCAGAGGCGAGGAGCCAGGCAGACGTGCGCACTCACCTCGCGCGATCTCCCCGGTGCTCTGCAGTGGGGGGCACAGGCATTGTTACCCGCCCGCCACCGGCGACCAAACTGAGGCTCCGGCCACCCCGGAGGCGGGCCCCAGCCTCGGATCCCGCCCCCGCCCCCCTAGCCGGCGGGCGTCCGCAGACGCGCTCCCTCCCGGTTCCTGCCAGCCCCTCTTGCGGAGCCTCCCGCGGCCCGGCGGGGACTCCGGGGCCGTGGCCCTCGCTCACCGGCCGGGGGTTCGCGCAGGCTCAGGCGCACGTTCAGGTACTCCACCTCCGAGGCGGCGGCCGGGGCCGCGGCGCCAGGGCTCGGGCCCCAGGCGGCAGTGGCTCGGCCGTGGGCCTCCAGGCGCAGCGCGCGCAGGGCCACCGGCTCGGCCGCCTCCAGCAGCACGTGTCCCGCCACCGTCTCGCCGCTCGAGTAGCAGCCCTTGCGCTCATCCTCGAACACCAGACCCAGGCTCTTTACGCGGCCCTCGGAGCCCACGGCCGCCGCGGACCCCGCCTCGCCGCCCATCCCGCCGGGCGATGGGGCCGCGCCAGGGAGGTCGGCAGCTGCCCGGAGCCGGCGTGGCGAGCAGAACGGCGCCGCTGTCACGGGCGCCCACCGCACGCCGGGGGCCGCCGCGGCAGTTGTGCGGTGCCCGGTGGAGCCCTGGAGCGCCGTGGGGCCTATCGCTTTAACAAACCCAGGTGGGACTGGACAGGGGCCGGGACAGCCCACCCCCGGCGCGCGCCCATAGGCCGCTCTGAGCCCTGCCTCGTGCCGATTGGTTGTAAATGGCTACTGAGTCATTTCATAGGCGCTCCCACGCACCGGATGGCGCAGGTAGGCAGTGCGTGATCAGACAGTGGTGACCAATCGGGACACGCAGGCGTACACGTGCACAGGCCGCTTATTGGCTGGGGCAAGGCACAGTTTTCGGGCGCTGACCAATAGTGAGGCGGTGCGCCCATGTGGACAGATAGTGTGAAACAATATTTGTTAGGGAGGGGGCGGGACCGGGAATCTCCGGCTCGCAAAGTGTCAGCCGTTCCCATAGTTACGAACGGGGGCGGGGTTTCTGGCAGCGTGGGGACTGCAGAACCCACTGGGTTTGCACTGGTATATGAAGTTGTGATTGCAACTGGCTTGTATTTTTAATCTGCAGTACTCGTGGGGGAAATAGATACCCTGGAAAATGGAACTCAGCAATAATTCTCCTGTGAGTTTTTTGGGTGGAGGTGGGGCGGCTGCCTCGAAACTTTAATGGATAGCTTGGCAACTACTAACCTCCCGGTTCCCGAGCCCCGCCTCTCCGGGGTTTCGGAATTCCCAGCCTGAGAAAGAGCCGCTAACTGGAGGAATGAAGGCTGTGATTCTCAACCTGGTGCGACCCCCAAGGAGTTCTCCTGGACTCAGAGCCTTTCTAAGCTGGGAATAGCCCAGAACACTGATTCTTCCTGTTGTAAACAAGGTCGTGAATCAGGTTGTTTCAAAACAATATGTGCAACCCAAGTTTCTGTTCCACCGGAAAGGGTTTCCTGACTTCGTGTCATAGTCAAGGAAGACTTAACAGTTGCCTTGATGACTTGTTCTCCACGCCCATGGCTCCTTTTGCCTGTCCTCATTTTCATTTTGTTCTTTAATATTCCATTCCTTCTCTACTGTAATTTTTTTTTTTTTTTACCATCTAGCGTAGCTGACATTATTTGGCCATTTTCTAACCCTTTTAAGTTCTTCCCTTATTAAATTTCCACGTTTGTGAGCTGTTATCACAGATTGATCTCGTATTGAGATTTAAAACCTTTCCTGAAGTAGGTATTTCCTTTTTGTTGTTGTTGTTGTTGTTTTATTTTAAGGATCCCAAAGGACAGGTTACTTTGCTGCCTTCTCTGAGTTTAAATTATTAACGTGGAACTTTACTAAAGCTTTGCAACTTCGAAGTTTCTTTATCACTTCTGAAAGAAAGTGGAAAGGGCCACAAATCTCTGCATACAGTTCTGAAATAGCTGTTAGTTTCTCAGCACTTTATCTAGAAGAGTTCCCAACATGCTATTACTGGTCCACTTTTCTTTATAACACAACCACACGTTATATGCTTATTTGCATATCGTTTATCACTACCATCTGAAGCAAAGAACTTGTTCTCCTCATTGTTGTACCTGTGGTACCTAACACAGAGTTTAGGACACAGTCAGCACTCAATAATGTTGACTTGATTGAATGAAGGAATCCCAACCCATACAGTATTGCTTGGCTTTGCAATAAATGAATAGTACTCTGCCTCTTACTCTACTGTATCTTCATCCTCTCCAGGCAGATGTTCTCTGTCTCCCCACACCTTCCAAATTAAGTGGCTGAGAAAGGGGGAAAGCTAATGGCCCTAACCATGCCCAAAAGGCAGACTTGCACATATGGCAGGTGTTCTGTGCTGAGAAAGATCAGGCTCTCTTTGCTCATTTGTCAGCTAATGATACTTTGATTCCAGGTAGCAGAATGCATGGCCAAACATTGGCTTGAACAATAAGTATATTTCTTGTTTACTTAACCAGAAGTAAGTGCAATGGCAGGCGCTATCAGGGTTGGTTCATCAGGGTCTTCTTATCTTTCTCCCCTGCCATACTCAGTTCCCTTACTGGTGGCAGTGGTTATCACAGCTCTAAGTATCCCAAAGCAGAATTTAAAAAATAAAGCAAGGGAGTCCATGTTCACTTAAAAAAAAAAAAAAAAAAAAAGTGAATTTTTTTTTTTCTTCTCTTCCTCTCTCCTTTCAGAAAGAAAATACATTTCCTAGATGCCCCCAATAGACTTCTTACATGGTGTTGGCCAAAATGGACTCGTCTATGCACCTGTAGGTTATTAACTGGCAAAAAGAAATGAGATTTTTACAATTCGCTCAGACCAGTGATTTTTCTCTGGGGGCTAAATAAAATCGGAGCTCTGTTAGCAAATGGCTGTTGTGTGGTCAATCTAGAGCCATTCAACTGACGTTAAGTGGGCCTGGCCAAATTGCTATAGAGTAGAGCTGTGTCAGTCAAACCTTAAAAAAGTGGGTGAGGGGTGCTTGAGAATGCTAGATGATCTTTGCAGATTTTCTGTAAGTTTGAAATTATTCCAAAATAGCAACAGGGATTTTTTTTTTTTTCCCATAGTCTCCTGCTTGCAAGAACACTTGATCTGGGTTCTCTGACTAAAAGATAGGGGAGCCCGGTGATATTTTTGCTGCTTGTGGCTGCGTTGGATGTCTACACTGGAGTCATCCTTGGTTCCAAGCCAGGGGATGAAAGAAAACCTTCCAGAAAACTCACTCATGATGGTTTGCTTTTTAAGTTTTGACTTCCCTCCCCAAGCCACTTGCTATTGCCAGTGCTCAGCTACTTCTATTCTTTCTCCTTTTCTTCCTCCTTCCTCCTCCTCCTCCTTTTTATTTTCAAAGTTTTAGTTATAATCACTGGGGGAGAGGTGTTCTATTGTGTGACTTTATGTTTTCCAGCTCTAGAATTTATTTTTCCCGCTCCTTCAGATCTTAAAAAGGTAATTAAAATGCTGCGTAAGTTTCTCAGAGTCCATAGTCTCTCATGGTTCATCTCTCCCTCCAATTCCTCCCCCCTTCATTTTTCCCTTCCTCCTCCTAATGTCCTCCATGCTATTCCTTATGTTCCACAAATAGGTGAAACCATATGATAATTGACTTTCTCTGCTTGACTTATTTGACTTAGCATAATCTCCTCCAGGAGGGGGGTGGGGGAACGGGTTAGCCCGGTGATGGGTATTAAGGAGGGCACGTACTGCATGGAGCACTGGGTGTTATACGAAAACAATGGATCGTGGATCACCACATCAAAAACTAATGATGTATTGTATGGTGATTAACATAACATAGTAAAATAAAATTAAAAAAAAAGAAATAATAGACTCCTAAGAACAAAATGTGTTTTATTAAAGAAACTTTGTCCCAAAATAAAATAAAATAAAATGCTGCATAAGTACCAACACACATGCATTATCTTTTTGGAGAATGGACACATTCATCTTGCTTTTGCCTCACTATTTTTATCCAGCAACTTTAATTTGTGCTCACTCATTTAATTTGTGCTCACTTGATTTTTATTTGGAGGCTGGCTGATGTTTGAAACTCATTTGCTACCTGAATTGGAAATCAAGTTTACAAAGCACAGATCTCTAGGAAGAAGGTGAAGAATCGTACCATGCTGAACATTCACTGAACACCAGCCTAGGTGCTCAACATGTGTGATCCTGTTTAATCTCACAAAAATTCCTGTGAGGGGGCATTTCAGGATAGAGATCCAAGTTTACAGACAAAGAGCCAAGGTTCAGAAAGATGGGGTGCCTTGCTTCACATTCCATTTTCAGTAAGTGACAAGGCCAAGATCAGACAAGGCATTCTGTGTTCATAACGTTGCCCTTTAGTATCATGGTTGAAGGGAAAAGAGAAAGGAAGGAAGGGGAAAAGGATGGAAGAGAAAGGAAGAAGGAAAAAAGTTTAACTTACTTTAATAAGAGGAAAGAAGAGACGTTTCCCACTCCCAGCTGGGGTTCCCTACCAGCACAGTACACACGCCCTTGACACTGAGGTGCTCCTCTCTTATGTTGACAATACCCCCCTGAAAATGGTTAGCACCTGTCTCTCCACAGGCCTAAAGTGATCCTCCACCTTCTTCCAAAAATGACTGGTGGCAGCTGCAGAGGAAATAACTGAAATGAGCTTTCTTTTAGAAGGAAAGTGGAACGGAGAAAGCATATGGGGGAGTAGATAACTGAGCAGGGAAACAAAAGAGGACAAAATACACCCAAAAAGGGAAATACTGCAGACGAATTTGTTTGATCCCCCCCACTGGGATGGAGAGACAGGAATTCATGTAAGAACGCAGAACTCTTTTGCTGCAGATATCTTATTCTGAAGAGCAGAAAGACCCTGCATTCTTCCTGCAGGGTTCTTGCATACATAATGTGGTTGAATTGTGACAGTAACAGAATGAGCACAGCAAGAAAGTGTTTCCTGCGAGTGAATTGGTAGTAGATTACAGTTCCATTATTGAAACTGAACAGGCAAACATGAAACCAAGACTCATAAGATAAGTAACAATTAAGGATCTTAAATAAACATCATTAGACCCATATTGAATGCAGAATCAATGGGAAGAGCTTGTCTGTGACCAAACATCATCTGTTCGGCATAATTGTCCTTGACGACTATCCTTTTGCCCCACAAGGGTCTGCTGTGATGGAAATGGCCATGTATGGATTTCACAAAACACCTTCCTTCAACTATTTGGGGGCTTATGAGTAATTCTAATTGAATTAAGTCATAAAATTATCAATATAAATTATAAAGGTTTATTCCACTGTAAATTATAAAAACTGTGGAAAATCACTGTAGGAATCAAGACTCTTTCCCAGTGAACTCAAGCAGAGAGCAGGAGAGTCCTGTGAGTGCAGGAGAGTCCCATGCTCCTATTTTGGTCCCATTTAGACCCTTCTTCCCTGGTCTGAGGCCATAGACACCATTCCAAGCTTAGAACTTACATTTGCAAGCATGTATGCAATTATATAGTTTTATGTTTGTTTTACACCTGTATGCACAAACACATGAAATCATACTCTAGTTATGGGCTCTGCACCTGGATTTTCTTCACTTCAAAGTAT